AATGTATTCAGTTTTCGGGGAAGGTAATAGGGTTTGATTCTCCCAAATGTACAGGCATAGGGTGGAACAGACACTTTATGTAGAAATTAGGATTAAGGGTCTTGATATTGGGTTTCTGCTCGGATTCTGATCTGAAATTAGAAAAAATAATTCGCCCGAAGGGCGAGAAATATAGTACTTATTATGTACTGATTGTTTTTAGTTTACTATGAACAATATTATTATTTAAGTTCTTATTTTTTGAATATGCAACTATCATTTTCTGCTGCTAATAGACATGGGGGAATTTCTCTTGAAGGCTCTTATAGTGGGCATGAATTATCTTGCTTGTTTTATTGCTGGTTGTATTGAACGGGACAACAAAGGGTGCTATGCGTACATTATGGTGAATATTTAGTCCTATAGGTCTTGCTGTATTCAATGTCTCAATCCAATGGGCTTCCCTAGATTGACGGAATTTTGTAGTTTCATCTTCGGGAAGGTCAATTTCTTTAATTTTATATCCGACCTGTGAGCATTAAAACGAGTTCGTAAATTATTCATAGTTTCTCCTACATATTGTTTGGGGCATTTCTTGCATGAAATTAAATATATTGCATTCGAATGTTCACATGTTAGATGTTCCTGGATCGGTTACCTTTTATTCGTAGAGTTGCTTACAAAATAATGAGTTTCTGATATAAAGGGATATGTTTTGCATCTACTGGACAAACGTGGAGCACTCCTTAAACTTGGAGGTTTAGTAAATTAATGATTCACTAATTCATTCAAGGTTTTGGTGAACTACAATGCATTATAATATTTAAATAAAATTTAACTTTTGAAAACACTTTTCGACAGTACCGGTGAGTGTATGTTACCTTACCTGGCAAGATATATTTTATTCAAGGGATTTCATCACAAAGTATTTGATAATTATGATACGAAATGGAACCTGGGTAATATGCTGATATTAAAAGACTATGTTTTTGTATTAAAACAAGATGAACGTGATCTAGTCAATAAAATTATTCAAGCTTTTGAGAAGGAATTTGTGCCTTTAATACCAAATCTGCCTAAAGGTAAGTTTCTGATTCTCATAACACATGACGTCTTTTGTTTGCGTGACAAATCATTTACGATTGCAATGTTTCCTACTGGTTATAGTGCTTTCTTTTCGTCGACACATGTAGCAAAAACTAAAAATATTTTATATAAGCTCGTGATAGCTTTTTTTTTTTTTTGCTTAATTGCATAATGTGCAAAAAAAATGTTTGGAAAAAATTAAATCAGAAATGACGACAAAAAAACAATAATTTCGCAAATTTTATCCAACAGGTATGATTTTGGTTAAACCATGTAACTTTATCTAAAACTTGTTGGAAACAGAATTTTTAATTTTTTTAAATTTAAAAGTTTATATCTCATGACCTTGACCTTCAATATAATATACTCACAACGTTTGGAAAACTTTCAGGTTTATAGCCTATAAAACCGAAAGTGTACTAGTTTCAAACGTTATGAGTATATTATATATATTGCTAGCTGAAGTCAAATAATTGTACACTAAACATTTCAAGGTCATCTATATATCAATAAACTAAATGTGGTATATCAGTCCAAAGTCGTAAAATTGATATTTTCAGATGGCCTCAGATGGATTTTGAGCATTTAGATCACTCTTTAGCAGGTGTCGTAAAGTTTACTTGGATGATGGAGATACTTTAAGTATAATTGTCAAACTCCATAGTTTCGACATCTTAATAAGTACACTTGTAGTTAGTCTAGCTCACTGGTCGCCTCTTCGTGATCTGACTAAGTCTCGAAGTCACGAGTTGTGTCCTTTCTTTCAATATTATTTTTTTTTTTTCTGCAAACAAAACATTCTTAACAAGTTGTCAGTATAATAGTCAGATAACAGTTTCCCGCTTATCATATACATATATAATGCATTTCAGGGTATATACATGGTGATCTAAATGAACTTAATTTATTGGTCATGCTCGTGGAAGACACCAAGAACCTGCCAATGCAGGAGAGACAGTATAATTTTACGGGTTTAATTGACTTCAGAGATACAACTTACTCATATACAATATATGACTTAGCTATCAATGTAGCTTATCTAACTATCTTCACAGAACTAATTGATCAACTTGATGCTCCGGGACACATTCTGGCAGGTTACTACTCATTGAAACAATTGACAGAAGATGAATTCAACAGTTTGAAAATCCTTATCGCTGGTCGAATGTGCCAGTCACTGGTATACGGCGCTCATACCTACCACTTAGACCCTACTAATGACTATGTGTTGCATACTGCTAAAAGAGGCTGGGCCACATTAAAACGATTGTGGTCCGAGCCCAAAGAAAAGCTGTTCGCAAGATGGAAAATGATAATGGAAACCTATGAATAAAGTTTTCTTTTAATCTGTCAATATATCAACTAGCGGTGAAAGGGTTGCACTAAGTATCTTTATCAATCTAAATAATTTATTTTAAAACCTTACACAGTAGTTCTTTCATGGCAAACTGTAAAATGTTATATTCATTATTATTGTTTTGGTTTATCTGTTAATATAAAACGGAAAACTGTGAAGTAAACTGGTACCCTGTTATGATCGCGTATCGCTACACTTCGGTGCAAAGCTATAGATAGAATAGGGGTACAGTCATTGACGTCTATAAATTACGTCATTGGGTCCAGTTTAATTGTGAAGTAGCTCTTTTATAAAAACAATGTGTTGCAATATGTTGAGAAGGGAGCTAATCATGATTATGATGAGAGGCTTCAGACAACAAAATAGTCACTATATAACACCATATACGGCTCTGATAGTTTGCGATATCAGCATCCACGTTAACTTGTCATCTACCTACCTACCTACCTCTGATAACACCCACATGGTTGGTGGATGTAAATTTCAGAGATCTCCGAATTGGGTCGGAAAAAACAAAAAAAGCGAGAATAAGTTTCCTCTAAAGGCTTTGCATAAATTTGGGAATGACATCCAATGAATATATTTTTTTTAATATTTCTTTTGGTATAATGTATTTTAAGTAGGATAAATAAATCATAATTTTGGTAATTGACCTATGTCAATTATATGTTACCATGCATAAAATAGAGTTATTGTTAATTCTATTGAAATATCACTAACAGTGTTAAATAATAAGTTTGGGTTGAATATGGACTAGATATAGGAAAGAAATGGTACACTTCCTCTGACAAGCATAAAGGTGCTCACTCACTATTTCTATATATATACGTCTTTTCACTATATCACAGAGTATCTTAAATTGACGAGTTGTCTTTTTAACATTCGATCACGGGTAATTCTGGATGCAGGAATTCTCGACGGTAAGCTGTGGACACTAATTGTCTGAGACTATAGTATGATTGGTAAAAAGTGTACCTTTAAGCTAAACGTATTATTATAGAAAATGATTGAAATTATTTTAAGTACTTATTGGGTATATTATATATTTTATTTATATATTATATATATACGTCTTTTCACTATATCACAGAGTATCTTAAATTGACGAGTTGTCTTTTTAACATTCGATCACGGGTAATTGTCTGAGACTATAGTATGATTGGTAAAAAGTGTACCTTTAAGCTAAACGTATTATTATAGAAAATGATTGAAATTATTTTAAGTACTTATTCTACTTTTTTGGCTATAATTTGCTACAAATTCTGGAATTTTAGAAAAAGTTCAAATTTAGTTTTGAACATAGCTAGCTAGTCAACGTTTGGTCTTTCTTAAAAGCGTTTGTTATCAATTTGCCTCGAACGAAAATCTACCAAAATATGCCAACATTACAGAGGCGTCAATGGAAATACACATTCTACCAATACACGCCCGGCCTTCTGATGCTGTATACTATAAATTTTGAAATAATTTGACTCCAAAATATTTATCTCATCTGTTAACTCTAACAGTAGAGTACAAGATCCTCTACGTACCTTAATCTTCATGTACCAACAACGACATATAAAACCTTTGCTTATAGGCCACTCAATGCAGCAGGACTACGGTTATGGAACAAGTTATACCTGTAAACCTGTTGACTCTAAAGAAAGTTAAAAACCCATATTTTTGAAAGAACAATTACCTAATAAGAACTGTGTGAGGGTGTGTGTGTATACAGAATACATTGACTTGTAAATGTAAATAATCATATCTGTGTTTGTAAAGCGCCATTGAATGCTCACATTAGAGCAGTAATTAGCATTAATTAACTTCAATAATATTAAAGGGATTGTAAAGAGGTTTTCTAATTGTTTATGCGTATCGGGGAAACTGATATAAGCATCCATTTGTACCATGCCAATTTTCAATCAGACGTTTTTTGTTCCTGTAATTCCACTTTTCGTGAGGCCACTAATCGTGAAGGGCATAATTTGCGAATAGTAACGTAATCAATGGTTATACTGCTATTTACTGTCATTTACGGATTCAGTGTAAATATGTTTGTAGAGAATTCATACCGGGAGACGTACGGGCATCACCCCGACCCCCCGGCCCCCCTCCCCCGACTCCCCTCTCCCTCCCTAACCTCGTGATTCATTGGTACGCCACTTATATATTCCACGCCTTGCAAACTGTATTTCTAATCATTGTTTATCTGTTATCTTTTGAGTTATACAGGCCTATATTTAATCATTGAAGCCATCTACAGATCGATATGTATATCACGATATGGTTCATATTGACTGATCAAATTACTCTACACGTGTCAACGTTCAAGATCTAAATACGTTCATACACCGCGACCACAAGCAACCTCAAGTAGACTTAATTTTTACTCTATCGACTGTCATACTGTGTCGACTCAATTTCATTCATGTCAAAGTTGAAAGGGCATTGTTAAAGGTCAATAGATATAACTAAGTAAATTATCGGGTTTATATATTATTATATATGTTATCATGCGTTAACTTCAGCTATTATAAATTCAAATGAAATAGCATTTAACTACAGTATGTATTAAGAAGAGTTTGGGTTAAATATGGAAGAGTCACAGGAAAGAAATGGTCAACAATCAGCGACACAACAGGTTTGTAGACTATTATAGATTTATTTACTCAGTATATTACAGTGAGCAGGCTAAAAATTCGCTTTATAAAGTAACAGATGCATTTCAACTGTGTATTGTTTGTAGAAGTGTTATATTATCTTATCACTCTAGATTCTGTATGAATTATTTAATACATCCATTATCCATATACTGGGTGATATGTATAGTCTAAAATGAATATCGCGAATTTGTTGATATCATTCAAAGATATTGGTTATAAATATAGCATACACTACTGTTAATTCACAGTACATGTTAGATAGATCTGCTAGAATTCACCTACTTCATTCATCGTTCGACTTCCAACTGCCCATTGCTTTCAGGACCTTATTTTTACCTACAGAATTATAAACGTTTCCAAAGTTAGACAATCCAACCTGCATCACCAGCCAGCGAAAACTAGGTCGCTGAAAAGTTAATATCTCGAACATTGCAGATCTACAGGATACCCTGTACTGTCCCACCAATAACTAAAACGTAGAGTTAAAGGTCAATGGGATAAATTTAATTTGGTCTTGATTTTGAAAGTAACAATCAGTGTACAGGTTTTATAATTTATATGTATAAGTTGAACCATTTGTCCTTGACCTGGAAAAAAAGAAATCAAACCGCTCTAGCCAGTTCATGAATATACCATCCTCACGATACCTCCTTATTCCGACCTTACCTTATTATTACAGTTAATACTTCCACTATACCCACCTTACCTTATTATTACAGATAATACCTCCACTATATCAACCTTACCTTAATATTATAGTTAATACTTCACTATACCCACCTTACCTTAATATTACAGATAATACCTCCACTATATCAACCTTACCTTATTATTATAGTTAATACTTCACTATACCCACCTTACCTTAATATTACAGATAATACCTCCACTATACCAACCTTACCTTATTATTACAGTTAACACCTCCACTATACCAACCTTGCCTCATTATTACAGTTAATTCCTCCACTATACCAACCTTACCTTATTATTACAGTTAATATCTTCACTATACCGACCATACTTTATTATAACAGATAATACCCCCACTATGCCGACCATACTTTATTATTACAGTTAATATCTCCACTATACCAACCATATCTTATTATTACAGTTAATATCTCCAATATACCAACCTTACCTTATTATCACAGATAATACCCCCACTATACCGACCATACCTTATTATTACAGTTAATACCCCTACTATACCGACCATACCTTATTATCATAGTTAATATCTTCACTATACCAACCTTACCTTATTATTACAGATAATACCCCTACTATACCAACCTTACCTTATTATTACAGTTAATATCTCTACTATACCAACCTTACCTTATTATTACAGATAATACCCCCATTATACCGACCTTACTTTACTACTACAGTTATCAATTGCTATTAACAAATATGTTAAGCACAAGTCAGTAAGAAACAGTACTTTATGTTCACTTCTTTTAAGGCTCACGTTCGTTTAGGTACTGATAATACCAATTGCGTTCGATGTAACAGTTGCTCGTAGGGGCAAGTTACGAGTGATAATAATGTGCATGTGCCAGGATTCTAATTAAACAACTGACCTACTGAGAATTCATTTGATTTGTGACGACAGCGATCATGTCACGCCTATCCTCCTAACAACGTGATCAAGCCATCGGAGAGTCGTACTGCATTTCCACCACAGTTGGAAGAGCAGGAGTATGACGTGAACAATTTACAGAACAGTGTGTAGTCGAAAGAAAACAGTGGGGGTTAACAGGCCTGGTGGTATGAGGTGCAAACCGGCACCACCGAGAAACTTGGAACCGTTGTTTTCCAGAATATTAGTCCAGTTAGAGGCCATGGATGAAATTAAAGCAGCGCGTTACATCAACCAGGTTCTCCGGCCCACGTTTTCCCCATTTGCAAAACTCCGAAACCACACATTCAAGCATGAGAACGTCCGTCCACACATTGCCATAGCCTTTCCTCGTGAAACCCAATAAAACACACATGGGATGGCATCCAAAGACGTCTAAACCAGATCTCGCGGCGTCCAAGAGATGCAGCAAAACTCAGTGTAGCTTTCCTTGGATATATACAGCATCTCATATGATGGCTGCACTATACCTAAATTAACATTGTCTTGGAGTACTCAGAGCATTATCAATATCAAACTATGCGATAATGTGCCTGACATCCAATCATAGATACGCTTTCAATATTTGGGAACATCTTTTTCACGCTGATTCGGGGACACATACAAAAACAGGTTGAAACCACTGATCTATGGGATATTGCATTAACATGAAAAACACTCAAATAATATTTTGTGCCAAAGGTGGTTGTTTTCTGACAATTATCTTTTGAATTATGGACAATGGATTAAATAGTTCACTACTTTCTGTATTATGCGATGATTCTTTATCGGTTCAGTATGTATTTCAGGTTGGTGAGATCATCAAGCCAGTAGTATGTAACGGTACTGTTGAGGAATTATTGGATACAGTTTACGGGTTGAAAGCTGTTTCTGTAACACCGTTAAATAGCTATGATGATTGTAATTATGGAATAAAGGTTGAACCAGAATGGACCAATCCACACATCAAAGAAGTAGCACCACACGGCTATTTGATGAAAATCATCAATTCTATGGATTCCAAACGTCCTGAAATGCATCGTAAGTCGAAGGTTTGATAGTCTACAATTGATAACAATTAACGGGCAATTACATTGCCTCATTTCAAAGGTTTTATCAAAATTTCCCTGAGAAATGATCGTGTTCGTAAAGCTGCATTATGGGGTGGAAGTAAAAATGAAACAGCTTTCCTCCTGGTCAAAAAACGTACATGAATATCACATTTCTGAATTTGTTAAAAGGGATATGGGGTTACAATTTGGGGTGCAAACTGCTTTGCTTTTCCCCCACTGGCGCCGCCACTGCATCTGGTAGAGCTAAGGAAGATGGTATGGGAGCTAGTTGGCAACGTAATTAATGTCAGGACGGTACCTACTCAAAATTTTGAACCGTAAGAAATTGCATAAAATATCCTGAAATATTCAATTAAATTGGGATATTTCGCTCATGATTCACGCTCTTCTATTATTGGATTTCATGTCCGATTATTATCAAATAAATATCAACCAATAAATAAGACAATATCAAAACTAATTTTTTTAATTGATAATAAGATACTTGTCAACTTTCAATTTCAGACGCACAGCATACCCTTATGGATCATTTAAGATCTAAAGGTGTCCCTACACAACAACCAGTCCCTACTAAAAAAGGAGAACTTATAAGTGTTCGAAAGATTTACGCTGACAAAAACAAAACAGGTGATTTATTATTTTTCATGAAACAGTGATGGAAGAAGACAGTGCCTATATTGTAACTACTTAATTGATACCAATAGTATTCACTCTCTAAGCTTTGATCATTAAGTAGAAGTCTGGAATTAGATAACATAAGAAAGGCAATTTTTATTTAAATTTAAGCTCCATTGCAGCTAGTTTGTTAAGAATGTTGTAGGGAGATAAATTCGGCTTTCGGGAACAATTTAAGTCACTAATACTCACCGACTGTGTTTGTCAACCGGTAATGTCGTTGTGATAGTGCAGATACCTTGTTGATCTACAATAGAACATTCATACCAGCTGTTTCTACTTTATTCGTATATTGCTGTAATATTTCAAAAGTGTGAATTATTTCAGATTATGCAGAGCATATTGTTAGATTGATGACATTTTTACCAGGTCAAGTTTTGTTAAATTATCCCATTACGACAAATTTATTATACCAATCGGGAATGTTTATTGCTAAAATATCAAATGCGATGGAGGTATGTTTTTACTATTTGACGATGACATGTATAGTTGTCATTGTCTAGCAGGCTCGCTTCTTAATTTAAACCCGAAAAGGTTCCACCTGAAAAGATCATAATAACGAAATGCGATATCTCATTAAGACGAGGAAATGCGAAACAGTTGATTTTAACCCAGTCTTCGTGTTGACATTTAGCTTTCATGTTTCATTTGATGAATGATACCAGAATAGAAGATCCGAATATAATTCCCTTATATTTACATTCAGCCCAAAAGGGCAAACTACTGCATAAACCTAAAAAGGTTCTCATCCCAAAAAAACAATTTACTATTCAAGGGATTTCATCACGAAGTATTTGCTCATTTTGAAACTAAATGGAACCTTGGTCATATACTGATATTAAAAGACTATGTTTTTGTATTGAAACAAGATGAACGTGATCTAGTCAATAAAGTTATTCAAGCTTTTGAGAAGGAATTTGTGCCTTTAATACCAAATCTGCCTAAAGGTGAGCTTTTTTCTATTTCTTCACGTTTTTTTATTTGCTAATGGTAAAGCATCTCTGATATGAACGATTGTCTACGTCTGGGCGAAGTTTCAAAGTAAATAACTATAGTAATATATATTGAAAATACCAGTAGTGATAAATGTTTTATGTATTTGTGGACCAATAAACCTCGAGAGTTTCTTAAACTATTCATTGATATGTTTCTACTAAAATTCTACTAAAAACTGAAAAATTATTCATAATCAGAATGTGCTCTTTATCCTCTTTTTGATGATTTAACATGGATTATGCAATTTTGTTAATAAAATGGTTGAATTGAACTTTTCACGTCTGGTTGTGAATTCAGTGAATAAGAAAATAAATTAATGTAATGATTATGTAATTCTTGAATTCGTTACAAAAAATTTTTAATTGAAAATTGTAACTTACAACATCAAAATATAGTGCTGTAAATTTGCAAATAATTTTACAGTTTGGATGGTTGTGCCATCTTAATTAGAACTCCTACTACAAACATCTACTACTGTTAGCGAAAGTTGGTAAGGTAGACAGGGTTAATCTTATTGTTGATGATAATTGAGAACCGTCTACAATAATCGTGTCACATCTCTCATAACAGGTTCCTTCACATTAATTCATTTCAGGGTATATACATGGTGATCTAAATGAACTTAATTTATTGGTCATGCCCGTGGAAGACACTAAGAACCTGCAGGAGAGACAGTATAATTTTACTGGTTTAATTGATTTCCAAGATACAACTTACTCATGTACAATATATGACTTAGCTATCAATGTAGCTTATCTAACTATCTTCACAGAACTAATTGATCAACTTGATGCTCCGGGACACATTCTGGCAGGTTACTACTCATTGAAACAATTGACAGAAGATGAATTCAACAGTTTAAAGATCCTTATCGCTGGTCGAATGTGCCAGTCACTGGTATACGGTGCTCATACTCATCACTTAGATCCTTCTGATGACTATGTGTTGCATACAGCTAAAAAAGGCTGGAACATATTAAATCGGTTGTGGTCCGAGCCCCAAGAAAAGCTGTTCGGGAGGTGGAAAATGATAATGGAAAACTATAAATAAAGAAGCTTTCAGACATCTGTTTTATCAGTCAATATATTCATTACTTCTTGAAAGGGTGCACTCAATAAGGCGTAACTTTTTAGCTCTTGGGGATCGAACAACATTGCTATAGTATGTTACTTTTTTATTTATCTCTGTCAAAAAGAATCATAGCCACAAACCGTTGACCTCGATTACATGGAGCCTTCCCCTTTGTCACCCGGAAAGCTGAGAACTCCCAGTCCAACGCTCGCCGACACGGGTTGTCAAACCCAGAGGATTCTGCGAAATGCACAAGAAAATCTATGTCGATGTCCTTGGGTTCGAATAGAGTAGTTGTAACATTTCAATATTGGGAAAACAATCTGAATTACATAATGGACACGTATGTATAATTTTTATGCAAATAAAGTATATCTCTCTCTAGAGTGTGTGCGTCTGTTCTTATTTTTCAAATATTTCACGAATAGAATCAAGTGGTAATTACAACTACCTAGTATTTGAATTCACACCTGGTAAATTGGTAACTCTACGACCATACAAAAGATGAATAGGGCTCAAAGGTTCTTCCACATCCTCTGCCGAGACATACGATAGGGGCCAAGCGTTGAGCACAGCTTCTGCTTCAATCAGGGCAGTGTCTAATTCTTCATAAGTAAGTCTCCACCGATGGTCTTCTTTAGACATATTTTTGTGGACTTCATAAGTCGTTCGAATATGCCATGGGGCCCTTGCAAGGTTCAATGCCCTGCAAGTAATAATTGAAATCCGGATCCTTGGAAAGCTTCTCAAAATGTTTAACTGCTGATGTGAAAGTTTTCCCATTGTCAGATAAAATCTTTACGGGTACGCCTCTTCTTGATGTGAAACTTTGAAAACATCAAAGGAACGATCATGTCTGCATATCAGGAACTAATTCTCAGTGAACTGCTCTACTGGAACAACAAGTGAACAAGCATATCCATACCTTCTGTTGTAAATCTTTATGACTAAAAGGTGGATTTTCAGTGATTCTGAAGTTAGGTAGACGTGGTGCGGGGCTGGATCATAAGGTTTGCAATCATATCTTCGGCATGTGACACAACCATGTTTAATTCTTCTTACAAATTGACGTCCCTTTATTATCCAAAACCGAGATCTGAGTTCTGTTAAAGTTGCCTTTGTTCCACTATGCATAACTTGTTTATGGCAATCTCGTACTATTAGTGATGTTAAGTGATGATGATAATCTAATAAGATAGGATATTTTGCACTGTCTGGTAAACCTGAATTTGCTAATCTTCCTTGACACCTCAAAATATGTGCTTCATCTTCGTAAACGTCAAATTGTCGTTTCCAAATACCAAAGTTCTTGTTCTGTTTTAAAGATTTCTGCATCTCCTATATCCATAAAATTTCAGCATGTCTAATCTCTTCCATCTAGATGCTGGTTCAAACGTGCCTTCAGCTTATAGACGAATCTCATTACATAAGCTTTAATACTGAAGAGTCTGTTTGCGTTGCTATAGTCTTCTGCGTCGATAATGTTAGTTAAGTTCTCTGTTCTAATAGTAGCTCACCTTTGAATCTGTAAAACATCTGGTATCTTCTAATTTCACTTTATATTGGATAGCTGTTTGAATCGTTGATATCAGGCGTGATAGGATCAGAGCAGACAAAAGTTCTACTCGTGGGATAGTCTGGTGAATCAAAGGGGCTACTCTGGTTTTAGACGCCACGAATTTTACATATTCCGATTACTGTGTAATGACGTGTAGATAAACAACAGCTGCATACGCTCTTTGTGATGCATCACAAAATCCTACAAGTCTGCATGATCGACGTTCAGTATCTTCTACGAAGTAGCATCTTGGGTTAGATCGTTCCATTGGTTAAGGTTTTCTCCATCTAGTACTTCATCCCAAACGACTTTAGATTTACATAATTCTTGGAAAAGTATCTTAAATCGTATAGTAAGTGGTGAAAGGAATCCAAGTGGGTCAAAAAATCTAGTGGCTATGCTAACTACATTCCCCTTGGTAGGCTCTGCTTCAATCGCTGAGTGGTAAATATCTTTGAGTAGAAATGGACTAGATGATACTCCGAAGACAACTCTGGTAAACCGGAAAACCTTTAATTTTGGGTCAGCCTTATGGATATCATCAACACAAAAATCTCAGTACATCTCTGTCTTCTTCTTTCATCGATACCATAAGAAAGGCTTTCTCTATATCTGCGATAAGTGCTATTCTGTGTGTTCTGAATCTAATAATAATGTCAAAAATCTTCTGATTAAGTGGTGGACCAGAATATAGACAATCGTTTAGTGATGGTGTTGTTGCAGTTTCCACCCTCAGTCTCTTCAATAAATTGTTCAATCTTCTGTTGCATAACTGGAAGTTGTCAGGTAGAATCGGGTGTGGCTGTTTCCATGGTAACATGACTTCGTATCTGAGGTCAGTGAACCGTATGTTTTCGGTCAAATCATCATATGCTGTTTTGTTCTGTAGTCCGAGTGATTCAATTTCCTAGAATTTTTTAAGTTGCTCATCCAATGATATGTGTAAGGTTGTCACCAAAATGTTCTCGACTGTTTTTAAGTTGCTTCCAGAGGGACCAGAAAATACCCCCGTAATATACGTCCGGTGACAATATTCCAATACTGGTCAGATCCAATGTCAATTTCAGTATCTGTGTTACTATTTGTAAAATCAGCAAACTTCAAATTGGTATATCGGCGATATTTAATCTTAACTTCTTCCAGGTTTTGACCTTTAAGTGGTTGACAAATAATCGGTACTACAAAGGCTGTCATCATAATGTCGTTACCATATGAATTCTTTACCATAAATTTTACAACTTCTATATCTTGTGAATAATCATCAGTTGATCCAAATGTTTGACCGTACTTGTAGTAGTCGTTTCTAACTGCAATAATTCCGTGGCGGTACTGAACATGAAGTTTCGGCTGTATATAAAACTGCTGCATGGTTACCAATTCTTGAGTCTTGATCATTTATAGATGTAGTCGAATCTCTCTGAACAACAGGGCATATACTAATGCAGTGTCTATAATTACAGTGTGGGTAAGTCTTCTGTTCACTACAGTTTCTTCCGATGTGATTTCTTCTCAAACAAATATAACACCTCCCTGTTTTCTTCAAAATTTCTTTTCTAGCAGCAATATTACTCACTGTTCTGCAGGAATTGGATGTGTGGGGCTCGTTACAATAAGTGCACCCATGTGTTGTACTCTATGAACTATTATCCGATGTGTATAAAGCAGTGGTAGTAGATTGTCGCTGTGGTGGTGTGTTCGATACATTCCTAAAGCTATTAGTTGATGGTGGTGTGGTCGCTTTATGTCGAAAATTACTACTAGATGTGACAGTTCTTTCTCGTGCTTCTAATTCTCGCAACATAATACCAAGGACTCTCTCGAACTCCCAGTCGTCATCTCCGACTTCCCGACCAATAATAATTTTCAATTCATGTGGTATTCTATCCATAAAGCTTGTTGACAATAAATTTCCGTAAGATGTTGAAGATACTCCCAGTGTCTGCAAACTTCTTACATTCGACTCAATTACATCATACATTTGTCTCAAACCTCGTAGATTATGCATATCTGTTACAGAATTCAAATTCAATAAAAGTTTCATGTGTCTATTAATTATCTGTTGGCGATTTCCAAAACGTTTCTTTAAAATTGTTACGGCTTCCTCATAATTGCTCGAGCTGAGTGGTAAACCGGATATGGAGTTAGCTGCAGATCCATCAAGTAATGATTTCAAATAATTAAATTTATCGATATCTGTTAAAGATGGGTTGCTGTGTATTGCTGAATTGTATGAGTCCCAAAATTCTTGCCATTTAAAATTGACACATACATAAACGGTTTTTTAGAACTTTGTTTACATGAAGCCAATACAATATAAATGTACGTCCGTTAAAGG